AAATTACATGATGATAAGAATGCAGAATATGAGCCGTTCAAATTACGTTAATAGTATTACAGCATATATGGGTAGTAATCAAATGAGATTCGCGTCATTTCACAACCCCTGCCAATGATTATCACTCACTCGACTCAAAATATAATTTATATGCTAATGAGGTACTTTACGCGTGCGTATTTTGAAACACGACAAATTGAATTATTAAATATTCCCATGTGTTGCACCCCGAGTTATTGATTATCTGTCGTATTATTGAAGTGCATGTCATTATTCACTTTATCTCACACACATTGCAGATTAGTGTAGGAGTGTATTAATTAATGGAAACACCACGCGCCTTAAAAAATGCGATACAATTGAAAGATTTAAAAACAATGTTTGCAGTGGCAGTACACAGCTCTGAACGCGCTTTGATTTACAAATGGCCATTTTAATACCTTTTTATTACACATAATCACATTGGGGAAATAGCTCAATTGTTAGAGGCTTTATGTGCTGTGACTGAGACTGTTGATTTGAACTCTTTCCTATGCCATGTTGTTCTACAGTTAAAGGGTGGTGGTCGTCGCGCTGCGCATGTGCGACATTTGTGTTGATAAACATTATTTTCACGCAATCCAATGCTATTCTAATGAAAATCACAAGTATTAGGTTTGACCTGGACTCGACTTGCACTAATTATCGCCGGTGACTACCTTCGATACCTTCCAATCACCTAAAAAATACCTGAAGGGGAGCAGAGGTCTGGCTTTTGACACTTCGTGCATGAAATTGGAGATCTAATCTATGAATGAATTCTAGCGATAAAAACAACTAATTTTACAACAACTAATAAACATTATTTTCACGCAATCCAATGCTATTCTAATGGAAATCACAAGTATCAGGTTTGACCTGGACTCGACTTGCACTAATTATCGCCGGTGACTACCTTCGATACCTTCCAATCACCTAAAAAATACCTGAAGGGGAGCAGGGTCTGGCTTTGACACTTCGTGCATGAAATTGGAGATCTAATCTTATGAATAAATTCTAGCAATAAAAACAACTAATTTTACTTGTATGTACTGCAAAATGCTCTAAATATCGAGTATAAAACGGGCTGTGAAGCAGACGACAAACGTACACTTTGCTTGGCGTTATTTTGCCTCTAGAGGGCCAGTCAATGACGTCATCAGTGAACGGAATAATATGTGCAGTGGTAAATCGAGAAAAAAGAAATTGACAGAGTGGTAAACTGTGTCGTAGACGTTTGTATTGCAGTCACTTGTAAAACATTCAAGAGCAAACGACATGTGATGAAAATAGATGAAAATAACCAGAAAAAAGCCTTAACGTGAATGAATTATGGAGGGCTTGTTTAAACAACAGTTTAAATGATTCCGTAGACATTAATGAAAATATTGGATACCGCGGTATGTCTAAATCAATGTTCAGTTATTGTCTGATATCATGGAGGAATGCACGTGGTACCGATCGACCACTGAGAACGCAGCCTTTCATTAAATTATACTGGTCAGGCGCAAAATTCGATTTTTTCTGATAGTTTATCGGTAATTTAAAATGTGTTTATCTAGCATACATTGGGTACCCCTTTTTTGTTATTTCCAGAAACTTGTCCATATGAATGTTCGATTCATGCGTGAATGTATTGTCTGTTCAACATAATAAAGATATTCCTTTGTTGAGGGTAAACTGACGGTAACGGTGTACGTGGAATTGCGATCATTTACGCAAATAATGCATGGGAAAAAATGGGTCAGGGTGAATAAACTCGTCTCTGTCGTTTTTCATTTAGTAACTTACTTTAAATACTGATTAGTAAAATAATATGGTATATCTGTCACGTTGATTATTAAAATGTGACACTGGTTTAATGTACTTATTTCAAACAGTGTCCCCCCCCCCCGACTTGGCCACGTTTTAACACGAGCATGATGGTCGGGTGAGTATATTTGTTTTATGTGAAGACGTACGTGTATACTGTTGCTAAGGAAACGTATTTCGTAGTCAATTCAAGTCCGAAAGAAAGGGATATAAAACAAAAGAAACAATCGATTGCACTTCGTTAGAATACTTATCGATCTACAGGTCGATATCAGCGAATACCGATTAAATGAACGTATTATTGAACGGATTGGAATCCCAGTTCACTGAAAACAATGGTCATCTTGTCAGTTCACATCATAACATGACCATAAACATGAATATTTTGTTGTTTTTCTCCATCAAAATGAATTTGGGCACAAACTGTTGTTAGAACATGGTATATGCGAATTGGCCTGGAAATAAAAAACGGATTTGCACAACTATATCCATACAAATGTTCACGAAAATGTCTGTTTTAATGCTAAATATGAATAAAATCACCCCATTGGTGGCTGCGATAAGAGCAAATAACTGCATTGTTTTAATTTGCATATTTTTGGGAGTGCGTGGTCATTACTGCCAAAAGCACATCTACTCGTTTCAAGGTGTGATCCTACCACATATGAACTAAATTGGCCCAATGGTTGCTGGAATAAGAGCAAATAACTGCATTGATCTAATTTGCATATTTTTGGGAGGTTGTGGTCATTACTGACAAAATCGACATAGTAGTGGTAGAGATAGCAGCAAATAACTGTATTGATCTAATTTGCGTATTTTTGGAAGGGTGTGGTCATTATTGCCAAAAGCACATCTACTCGTTCCAAGGTGTAATCATACCAAATATGAATAAAATCGACATGGTGGTGGTAGAGATAGCAGCATATATCTACATTGATATAATTTGCCTATTTTTAGGAGGGCGTGGTCATTACTGTCAAAAGCACATCTACTCGCGCCAAGGTGTAATCCTACCAAATATGAATGAAATCGGCTCAATGGTTGCTGAGAACAAAGGAAATAGCTGAGTTTAGCTAATTTGCATATTTTGGGGGTTGGGTGTAATCATATTAATATTAACCTAAAAGATGACTTCCGACGAAAAGGAAGCTATTTTGAAATTGGGTTCTGAGAAGTTGGTTCTGAGGTTCTGAAAAGTTGCTTCTAAGTTCTGAGGCTCTGAGGTTCTGAGTTCTGAAAAGTATACACTACCGGGTTTCCTAATATTTCCGTTCAGGTGAATATTTCAATATTATTTCTGGCTTGATTGGGTTCTATTTTCCGCGTCTAACAGCCATAGAACACAAAAGTTCTAAAAAGTTTATAAAGTTAGTCATTTATCATATAATCCATCGTCCGAATCGCACAGTTTCGCTAAAGCCGATCATTCATAACCGGCCCACGAACCCGTGCGTGATCGTGTTAGAAAAAGCTATATTTCACTGCAGCCCGAGTCAAGAACAGAAGGTTCCAAAATTTCTTATTCCAACGTTGAAAATTGTTTGTGGGCAAGTGAATGAGGACGATGGAATGTCTAAATATTTGTGCAAACTGTGTTTTAGTAAACTGACAAAACTGTCGAAACTGATAACATATCGACTTGCCCGATTCGCGGTCTTCGTTGCAACACAGTCGTGTAGTCGTTTTAGGGTAGAACCGGGAATAAATTTGTATCAAGTTGAATTTGGTATTATTGGAAGCGCAATTTTAAGGCGAGTAACATATCCAAAATCCACCGGAATCCACCCACGGGTAAAAAAATGACGGCTATTTTACCCGTGGGTGGATTATTTTAATGAAAGCACCCGTTTTACTCAAAGTTTAGAACCGAGATATATGCCGTTGCGAGATTGATTTGCATGTCATCTATGTAAAAGCGCTTTCTTTTGATGATCAGTGAGCTCGTTCAAAGAAAAAGCTAGCAACACTTTTATTTGATTCCGCCATTTTAATTTTACCAAGTAATGTGTAGTTTCTTTTGTGAGTTCTGATTGGGTGATGCTAATGAGCCGAAGTGAATCTTATAATTGTTTGAGGGCGTGCGACATTCAGTAAATCGTGGTGAAATCTGCTTAGGCCGAATAAATAGTCCTTGGCTGGCGAAGATGCATATAATCTAATGTCTTGATAACTTTGAAAAGACTTCAGTTTCCTAGCGTGAATCATGCATGTATTAATTTAATTACCGAACATTTCTTTCAGATTTAGGGCGTAAAACGTGTTATTAAACTAATTAAAGCAACCAGTACACTTGAACCATGGAGCTCCGTGCTTGAACGTAATTTTATTAACCGACAAGGACTTCTAATTCAAACATATTCGAATATGCAAATGAGTTCGATGCAAAGCTGTAGTGCGTTCGCGTCGTCTCTCCAGTTTTCGTTCGACTGCTATGTGACGTCACAACTGGGGCGACTGTAGCAAAAGATAAAGATAGCGAACGACGAAATCGGTATGTAAATGGTGTTTAGGTAATTTTCTCAAACATAAAATGCAACCGGGCGTGAATTTAAAGCGCGTTCGAATTTCATATAAATAAGCAATGTATTTTACACGCGTTGTATACGTCCCATATCGAACAGGACGCGGCACGACGACTGCCGCCCTTTAAAATAAATTGTATACTTTTTCGCTTGTACAGCAACGAGCCAATACGATCACGTGATACTACTTTCCCGGATTACGTTCGTGTAAACTTTAGCAACGCGAACGCACTTGTGCAGGGATGATAAGCAACGCGTATCGAACTGTTCGGAGTTCGTTTTGTGTGTGTCCTTACGTTCTTATGTTCTGTCTGAACATTTAAACATTTTCTTCTATGTTATCGATAAAGAGCCATTGCGCGATACGCCTAGCTATTTTGAATCATAGTTAAGGACAACGATTACCAAATATTATCTACTATATATTGTAGAGTGTGATTGTACTGGCCTTTTTTTCAGACGCAACCGCCGCCTCCTCTGACGTCATTATTTGCTGTATAAAGGTAGCCACAGAAAGCAGCGCTTGTTGTCACGGGATACCGGTACACAACTGAAGATAATTGTTTTTTATGGATTCGGCACCGCGTATTCGGTCAGTTTCGTAGGAATACGTACGTGTAACAAGTGATGACCCCCCACCCCCAATAAGGCGTTGACGGAAGATTTTGGAATCCACACTGTGCATTCGATAAAATGTAACAGAGATAACAGGTTGGTTTATTACTGTGCTAGCGATCTCATTTTGTACACACAATCATTGTATCGCATTGTGACAAGTAAAAACTTGCCGATTTGAACATGATCCGCTATTTATTTTGTATGACTGTTACGTCGACAACAGTCGCGTTTTATAGTTTCTTTGTGTCTTATTGCGTAGTTTCTATTGGCACTGATAAATCGGCATATCGCTGAAACGTGATAATGTCATTTCCCTGAAGGGCCTCGCGCCATTTTAAACAGTTTTTCAAGAAAGGCCATTTTCAACAGTCGATTCTTGTTGCGTAACAGAGCGACGCTATTTGCCACAGACATTCAATGACTGTATTCATACTCAGGGGGTAAACGCAAAGCTAGCTCCAGGGAGCTATCACATCTGAGTAAATCGTGTTCCGTAACACTATCGTCGTTACAGTATTCAGGTCACTTTTCTCATCTTGCGCCTTCATTGAGTCGCTCAACCCATGGAGGTAAAAAGAACTCGCTTTTTACCTCTATGCTCAACCCAACAAATTTAACCACCCTAACAACGAATTAAATTCTCTAGAAAATAGCACAATTATTTATGACACTCTAGATCCCCGCCTACTGATACAAAAACCACGGGGTTTAAATTATTCATCTCTCGGAAGGCATGTGACTCTCATTTATTTGTCTGAGATCAGCTTTAGTAATAACCATAATGGTTCATCCCAGGTTATAAAATTGCCATGACCGGGCAAGTCTACAAAAACGCCTTGAATTATGATCTAGCTTGATAATGGCCGTGATGAGAACATTATTTTGTAAAGCTGTCAACAAGTTGTTTTGTTTTATGGGGATTTCAATTTATCTCATGCATCGAGCGATCCCTGAGATTGTTTGTAGTTTGTAAATAGCATATTGATACATTGTTAATGAATAGAATAATACTAGTAAATAAATAGAAGTAAATGTCACAGCGCTTCTAACAAATATTACTCCCAAGTATGTTTTAGGTTTTAATGTACATCCATGACAATTACAACCGTACTATATGAATGACCGCGCACAATTGGACAATTTTAGATCAGTTATTCGCAATGCATTGGACAATATCCCAGTCCTTGACACATTGGCAAACTGAAAATAATTATTCTGTCGCCAGTGTTTGTAGAAATTTTGAATTATATTCTCTCTTCTTCTTTTACTTTCATTTTAGAAAGTTCTGAATGCACAGTACGGTTGCACAGTAGAATCACGTGAGCCGGTCAGGTGTACTCCGAGTCGTCCAAGATGGCTGACCATCGGTTACGACAGAGGGCGCAATCATTCATCATAACAGGAATAATATTAATCATTATTGGCATTATATTAGAAGCAATTCTTTGGTGGTTTTTCTACATTGGCGCCATTTGTTTCATTGCGGGCGTATGTTTACTAGTTACCGGGATCGTCTGGCACTGTCAATCGAACAGAGGCGGCGCATCGGTGAACGTAGTACAGGTTACTCATCAAACTGGTCCAACGGTCATCGCGACATCGACCATGCATTCCACTATACATGCCCCTCCTCAATACCCACCACCTATGTACGGGGCACCACCACAATCGCTACCAACTGGACCAACGCCAGGGTATATGCCTCCCACGGCACCTCCTTTATACGGACACCCTCCCTCATATGGCAACAACCCCACATATTATCCAGGGTATGTTGTATTTTTATTATGTAATTTGTATTTTTAATTTCAATTTTTATAAAACGACTATACTATACAAATTTACAACATAGTGTGGTCGGATTATGTCCCCTCCCAACTGTCCGTTTCTAGTCCTGCAATGGAACTTGAAGAATTATCACAATTGTGGTAATGCGTTTTTTCTGATATTATCATAAAATCGTCATTTCTATCGATTTTACAATTATTTTTATGAAAAAAAAGATGTGGCACATTCGGCCTTTTTTGTAAGTAAATTAAACAACTTTTCATTACAATTGTTGTTATTGTTGTTATCTTTTCCAGGAATTCACAGCCAGTTAATTACACACAGCCGCCACCAAATTACAGCATGCAGACACAGCCAGGCCCAGGATACTGAATAACGGCTTTCTAAGTTGACAAGGCGAATTGGCGAATACATGTGTTTTTGTGTCTCATCATGCATGGCCGATTTTAAGCTATTTCACAAGAATAAAAATATGCAACGAAATCCCGTTGACTCGGTGAACAAAATTTTGAGTTTCCGGACATCAAGAATTTTTTGTTAAGTAAACTAATTTTAATATCGTCTCCGAGGACGCGTTCAAATGTCGTTGTAAACATCACATGAGACCCATTTCGAACCATATACCTTTCTAAGTGTGAAGTGTGTGACCCTTCTACCAATGTGACGACAGTTGTCACATTTCTACAAACTTGGGTCCGCAATGATATCATTTGTTGAGCTACTCTACAAACAATATGATTATCATTGATACTACAAACAGTATAAAAAATGCAATGTAATTTCCGTTTACGTATCTGATTCAAGTCTGTGTTTTGTTGACATGTGGCCTTTTCATTTCCTAATCTAATATCACCGACCGTCCACGTGACTCTGATATCATTGATTGCTGCACGTGTGCCTCCATTTATCACTAGTATCAGTGACGTCACATTATTCACTTGGATTATGAGACTACTAATGTGTTCACTCAGGGATGAATTATGTTCGAGGATATGATCAGAAAAAAAATAAATTGCTGGAAAATGTGAACGGTAAATGATATATACACAACAGGGACACGTGACTTACTGACCATATGAATGTTTACTAAAAGTCTATGCTTGCACACCAAAGTCTTATTGAAAAAAGAAGAGTATTTTACTGCAGCGACGACATACAACGCGTTACTAAATTGTCCGTGAAATGAAATTGTTGTTACCTTATGATGATTTTTATTTTACAAACATTTCTTTATAAACTGGAATTCATTTGGATGGACAAAACGTATGATTTCAGAAAACAAGTACAGCATCGAATAAAAGAATCCAGTCTCTTCATTAGGGTGGTCTTTAATTATCTAAACCATTGTTAACGCCCCAACGGAAACATTGAGCTACACAGACCAAAGAATTAAAATAAAATCATTACAGCGTTGACGTGCCCTTTGACCTCTAAACACTATTTCTAGTGGAGTCAGTTTGATAAAAATTAGGAGTAAAGTAGTACGAGTCATCCCTTCGCATATTTCAAATTTGAGTGTATATTTCAAATAAAGCTATAATCGTTAAATCGCAAAAGCACAATCGCCCCTCATTTAATCCATAGGTGTGAATTATTATTATTGAAAAAAGGAAGACCAATTTGTCTAATGAGTTTTCTGTATTATTTCTGTATTCTGTAGTTGCTAGGTTACCATGCACACGAGAATGTCAATTTCGCATGCAGCAGAAATAAATGTCACAAAAAACTAGTCATTACATCTCCCTTCCTGTCGTGAAGTTCGTTCAGTCAATGATTTGACTAGTCTACATTTACCCTGGCGTTGTATCAACGTTTTCAGTGTGTTCTTTTTTAACATTCGGTCGCCAGCTAGACGCTCAAACACCGCCATGAATCCTACTGAAGCAAAATAAGAGTAGGAGTAGAAGATTGGAGTAGAGAGTAGAGGTAAAAGAATGCAGCATATTGATTGGCACTGGAAAGAAACAGTTGAACCAAATACAAACTATTATTGACCAAAATCTCGTTTTAAATTTAAAAATCTCAATTTTAATTTGGTGCAATTTGGTTAAATTCTTGTGAACAGAGAATCTACCCAATTATCCAATAGCAGGATCTATGGCGGTCACGGGGGATCGGGCGACTTAATAGGAAAAAATATGCCCACTTTGACAACACCATCGCACGGGGTTACATTTACTACCAATTATTTTACTAAACATGATTGGTAAATTGTTTCTCATTCAGCTCTATGTGATTCAGCTGGCATACAAGTGATGATCAAATAAAATACGGAAGTTTCACAGCCTAACCATCAGTTGGGGGTTTAAGTTAACTGCCAACAAAATTCATCATTGTTGTGTGGTAAACTTCTTTGCATGCGAACACCTTATTCACTAAGAACCAGGAACAATTTCCCGGGGTTTTTGAAACCGAAGTTATTGTCCAACGTAAGGATATCAATCAGCGACAAATCATTTATTTTTCATTCCTGTATATCAACTTAGAATATTCTCTTTGACGCATTTTCCCTGTCATCTGAATCTCGCGCTTTTTCGAGATTGGTGATCTATTAAAACTTACTTTGATTTACGAAAACAAGGTTTCTTTAGTCAAAACCTCAAACATGTTAAATGAGAGATACCTCTACTTTGACTTTGACTTTTTATGAATATCGTTAATTATTTATTTATTATGACTTTGACTTTTTATGAATATCGTTAATTATTTATTTATTCCTCAAAAACGCATATAAGTTATACGTTTATTTTCTTCATCATTTGAACAAGATGTGGTGCACAGAGCGTATGCAAACTACGACGTGACAGTGGTGAGTGAGTGAACGGAAGTGAGAGCGCCGCCAGTGTTGGAGTGTGAGCTTTGGGTTCCACACCATTCCACTAGAGGAGGCTCAAGCGTGTTGTTTATTTATTCAACGACTAAGAGCGGTGATCATCGTATTCTGTGGGCCAACCGAAAGAAGTAAGAAAGACAATATAAGACAACCTGGAATCAACCCCCCCCCCCCCCGCCAGGCCACGCCGTGGTTTCAGATTATCCATAGGTAAATAAAAAACAGTAAGAAACTAAACATGGCGGTTAACCCTATCCACCCAATCAAAGCGAATGTTGATGGTTATACAACTATTACTTGACTGTGAGTGCACATCGATTTTAGTGCATAAATGTATATATTTGACCATAGACTTCTACAGAATCTATGATTTGATGTACTGTAAAACCATTTATTTTCACTGACATTTAATTTCACCATTTTGATGTTTTGAGCATATTCACTGTGTTTTAATTTGATGAATTTTCAAGGAAACAATGAGTTTTATTATTATTTTACTTGTTCAAGTAGATTTAGTAGAGGATTTTACTTATCAGCAAAAATGGCGAAATTAAAACCCAGTGAATAATGAATGAATTTACAGTATGTACATACTAAATTTCACACTGAAGCAGACAACTGGCAAATCGAGACAGTGGTCGTCACGCCGTGTCATCTTCGACGTGGGTTCTATAGCGACGTATACAACGCATTAAAAATATTGCGGTTTGTTCACACGCGTTTCACGACGACTACGTCCTTTCATAATTGTTACTTCCTGGTAACTGAACATGCCACGCATAGTGATTCTTTTCCGGGGTACATGGTACAGTGAGGGACAGTTTTCACATTTTTATTTATCAATCTCAGCATTATTTTTTTTTTTTTTTTTTGATAATATGAGGTTATTACGAAAATACTCACAGTATGCACGAAGACAGTACAGCGGGAGTGTCGATGCGACGCCGTACTGTATGAGTGCATACTTTGAGGTATCCTCGTAATAACCTTATTATTATACATCTTTTCCTTTCAAAGATACACCTTGGGAATGCCGAATTTCAAAAAGTTTAGAGCAGAATCAGCGAACACCTTTGTGTGGAGTCCGGTCAAACCCTGGTGGGAGCCATGTGGTGAAAATACCCGGTAAAATTACGGCACGCTGTAACTTATGGCGTTACGGTGACAGATGTGTAATAATAATCAATATCATTAAACATTTTATCACTCCGACTCCACAACAAACCAACGCAACACACTGAAACACAACACACAAAAAGACCACGCAACGACAATAACACCACAAAACACAGCATATCACAATGTATCCGCAATGTAACACACCGCTACACAACATGCGGCATTACAACACAAAACACTACAACGCAACACAAATATAACAACAACAAAACGTAACACATCGCAACGTAACGCATACACATCTACAATGCAACACAACACAGAGCACTACAACGCAACACCAATATAACAACAACAAAACGTAACACATCGCAACGTAACGCATTCGCATCCACAATGCAACACAACACAGAGCACTACAACGCAACACAAATATCACATAGCATTACAAAATGTTATGCAACACAACATATCACAATACATTATGCGACACACGCAACCATCGACCTTTCATAAGGTCTATGGCGCAACGAACACAACACATGGTAACACAACACAATACATAGTAATACAACATACCACGTGACATCAATATTAATCCCCCTAGCGTGCACGATGGACAAGATCTCACCCGGTATACGTTTAGTAATTGAGTCTACTCAACGCAACACATTGTTGGTAAATGTATCATTGTATAATAGTGTATATCGATTTAGAAATAAATTAAATTTCCAGAATATTGAACCAAAAATAGCATTGTCCATTCTACACGGGACACACTATTGATAAATAGTCAGCTATATCACTATCGTATTTTAACAAAGTAAAAGAAAATGGGGAATATTTTACCATTTATGTACATCATTTACACATTTGTATCCAAAAGCGACTTTTTTTTGTCAAAACACTGCATGACGGGAGTTATTTTGTAAGCATGACAGCGCCATTCGTCATCCTAATATTGTTTCAACACTAGATGCTTGACTGGATACATTTCAGTTGATCGTAATATATAATTATTATGCCCACGTGACATAACTCATAGCTCCAAGAAAAGCGGCATGCGACGAAACGTGGTGTGGTGCGATGCAATACATTATGTATTCGGTCGTCATGGTTACTAAAGAGGTGTTCCAACCATATCGTTGAGAACACAATAACAAATACGTCGTACAGTCAGCGTCAGGGTTCTGTTATTTTTATTTTCGGTTTTCAAAATTGTTGCTATTTTCAGTTGAATATTAGTGGGTTTATGATTTGACCACCGTACATCCGCCTTTTTAACGGAAATGATCGCACAGAGAAGAAAGCACTACGAGCTAGTCGTAGAGTTTGCGACGACAATGCTGTACCGACGTGTATTCCACCATCTTGAATATTGAAACAAGTGAAGGTGAGTTACAAGGTCACGTGGCACGATGGCTTATTTTAGTGTATCGTGACAGA